AGCAAGGTCACTTATTGTGTCTGGCCGCTCGAGTGACAACTTTTTTGCTTGAGCGAGCCTCGCGTATATCAGTTCACAGCAGAACGGTTTTGCATCACTTTTTGATTTTCTTTTCACTCAAAACCCTAAACTGGCTCCTCTTCTCTCTAAAATACTCTCTCTCTCTCTCTCTCTCTCTCTCTCTCTCTCTCTTTCTCTCTCTCTACAAATCCCCTAGGATCTAAGGGTCTTTCTACCTCACTCCCTTTGATAAAAAGTTGGAGCATCTCAAGGGCTTCCATTTGATCTGAGTAAAACCGAGTTTGGGCATTTTTGAAGTTCTTCCTTTTCTTTTTTTAGGCTTCTACGCTTGAGGTAGGGATATTTTACACTTTAATATGGTTTTTTAACCTAGATATTTGTTGTTATGTATAAATGATAAGATTTGGGAGTGATTTTGGGTAAACTAGGGTTTGGGCTCAAATTAAAAAGATGGGTTTTCGATGTTGGGTTACAAAATGAATGTGGTGCTTGAATATGAAGATCTCTTGTGATTAAATGGTGAAATTTAGCCTTTGGGTTGATATTTGAAGAAAAAAAAAAGGTAGAAATTTGCCATAATTTGTGTTGAGTAATTACTTTTATACAAATAATGGAATTGGTATGGAAAATGGGAAATTGAGAGAATGTATGAATGAATGGTGTAGTTGAACTTGTTATATCACTCACCTATGGAAATTCGATAAATTATCTGTTATAAAGATTGTATATCTGTTTTGGGCTATCAGTGGAGGATAGTTATGATCGTTGTAGAAATTACATGAGGATTAGGTGAATTGAAAATAATCATTTAAATTATGTCATTGAATATGACGGTATGATTAAATCATTGAATATGAGTTGTGGATAGTCATTGTATATGACGATGCTTTTAAATACGTTGTATATGTATCATTATTTGGGAGGAGATAGGAGATGTACTTCATTATTTGGGAGGAGATAAGGGTTGAACTCCATTTAAAATTAATTTGGCTGGAGTGTCTAGGGTGAAAGTCCCGAAGTCTTATATATATATATGGGTGTCGATTCCCTCGGACGAAAATTCCATAAAATAGCAAATTGAAGTATTTGAATAATAGTTGTGTTGAATTATAAACCACTGAGTTGTAGTCTGTAACGCCCCGAAAAATTGGGCAGGGTATATCTATTTATACAACAAACGCACCAGATAGACAAACACATATATATAGCCTAACTATTCCATACATATATTTCCATTTAATCCCAAATACCAAATACATGTTGTTCACATCTCAATGTTCCAGTTCCAATCCCAAGCATGCATTTTACAACAAGTATGAAATAGAAGCCAAATAGATAATAAGTGCCCTACAAGCTTACAAATTTATCTAAGAGCATTCTTGGTTACACAAAAGGGAGTTTCAACTATACGCAAATACAGGCCTGGGCTTATATTCAATAAATAACCATAAAACAAAAATGAAGCCTCAGCTCTGAGTCCTCCCAAGTCAGTGTCTTGGCGGAGGCATAACACCTGTACTTGAAATGGTTTGGTGGGCCACAGCCCAGTAGAGATATACTACATAACATATGAACCATGACAAGACTAAAGAGGAGTATGCTCATGATAAAACAATTTATCTCTCTTTTTATAAAAGCATGCAATACTGAGATACAACAACAGATATAAAACCATTTCCATTTTAAATCATATCTGTTACATGAATACAAGCTCTGTGAATCTCTATGTGAGTGTCTGTAAGTAGGCCCTAATGCACTACCACTGTCATTTTTACCAGTAAACTGGAAAGTTCGACACGTAACCGCGAGGTTCTACACCTCATACCCCGATTCACCAAGTATTCATCTTTTTGCAAACAGATACATTTCAAAACATTTCTCAAAAATAGATACATTTCCAATGAAATGAATGTAATGCAATGTCCAATGCAACAAATGAGGAATGTGGTTCAATTTACCTAAGTCTCATGCATTTTTACAACAATCATGGCTATCCTCCATCGATAGTCCAAAATAAATATTTCTAAATAGATATTTAAACAACTAAATTCTAAAAATTTTGATAAATACAATCTATTCCACATCTCATTAGATATGAACAACTACACTAGTTTTCATATCACACTCACGTCCGATAACCTCAAGGTCTATTTCTAACCGTGTCGGTTTTATTCCAACAGATTAGGCCTGTCAACGGATCGGGTATAACCCGAATCCGATCCGAATCCGATCCGATTAATTCGGTCCATTTATGCAAATCCGAATCCGAATATCTGTTTAACCCGTATCTGTGTAGCCCGATTTTAAACGGGTCGGACTCGGATAAATCCGATCCAATCCGTTTGTTTGCCTAATCCGATTCCATTGAAATCAGATCTCTCATAAACAGATCTCTCTCATCGTCTGAAAAGTGCGTTCTGTTGTTGAAGTTCATCGTTTGAAGATCAAATCTCTTTCTCATCGTCTGAAAATGCTCCAATTGATGACGATGAACCTAGCCAAATCGAGCTCTCTGCTCCGATTGGATTCATAACGCTCAATTTCAAAGAACGAAGTCCAAATCTTGTCAGATCGGAGCTACGAACTGTAAGAGATCATCTCTCTGCTCCATTTTATTTTTTATTTTTTTTGTTGGGTCTCTGTCCCGTTTCTGTTTTTGTTGCCGATTTGATGTTTTTGTTGCCGTCAAGGAGAGTTAGGTTTGGGCTTTCCCCTCTTCCTCTGTTATTCTATTCGTCGGCTTCCTCTCTTCCTCTGTCAATGAGAGTTGGGTTTTGTTACAATATTGAACAAGATCAAAGGAGACCGTGAATTTATTGTTTCTTTTTATTGATTTTTGCTAAATAGATTCATGATTAATTCTTCATTGATCAAAGTGAAGAACTTTTGGTTCAATTTTTTGAAGGATTTTAAAGTATGTTATTAGTTAAAATCAATTTTTTTTGCTGAATAATTTTTCGAAGTGAGCAATTTGAAGAGATATATATATATATAAATTTTGTGGACTTGAGCTTGTAAGACATCCCACTATCTTCTCTTCACTTTTGTTGATTTGCAGAATAATTATTTACACTTGAATCTAATAACAAAATCAAACAAAAACCTTTTGATTTTCATCTCTGTTGTTTATTGTTTGTAATATATAAATGGTGACGTTTCCTTAATTTTCTTTATAAATTTATATATTTAATTTGTTTGTTGCTGGTGATTGAGGTGAAATCAGTAAATTATTGTTGTTTATTTTGTCCATAAATTTTGTTTTGTTTTGTTTTTGTTTTTGTTTGTTTGGTTTTTTTTTTTTTTGGGGGGGGGGGGGTGTTATATATTTTGTTCAAATTGTTTCTTGTCTTTCATTTTCTGTTTGGGGGATTTTATTAGGAAAGGGATGGAGGGAAGAAATGCAGTTGGGGATGGTGATGTGGAAGTTTTGATATTGTTTTAATATAGTAGGCTTTTTAGAGCAATTCCAATGATCAAGTGGTAGAAAGGATAGCTAATGTTATAATTTAGCAATGACCAGTACAAAAAAGTTATAGAATAGTAATGTTATTCTAACGGTGAAATTTTTATTTTTTAATTTAACCAAACAACCGATCAGACAATCGGAAGGATGACTAGCCAAACGATCGGCAATAATAACTATAATTTCACACCGTTAAAGTTGCTTTTAACATGTCACTAGAGAAGGCAATCTTGCCCAAATTGCTATATTTTTTGGCAATGGCAGCCACTATACCAACCCACTAGAGAAACTCTTACATTGTTTAAACGTTTAAATGTTAAATTCAGGGGAGATTCTAATATACATACATTTGAAAAGGAGGTGCCATATGCACCTTTTAGTAATGTCATTTTTTTTTAATAAGGTTATTGATTTTAAATATTTTATCAATATTTTTACCAAATATCTCACATGGATATCGGACCTACATGGGACCAATATGGTGTGGATTTCAAACTCATGTGAGATATTTAGTAGAAATATTAGTAAAACATTTGGAATTTCTACCATTTTTCTCTTTTTTTTAGTTATAATCAATTTTATATTTTAATTATAACTCATAAAATCGTTTAGTCATCGCTAATGTTTCCTAAATTTAGCTTGTGGTTTGTGGTTGTATTTGAATTTGAATTTTTATTTTTATTTTCTTCTAAATTTTCTAGGTTTGTGGTTTATTGGTATACATTTGTTTATGGAATTTGTTGTTTTTGGGTCTGTGATTTTTCTTGGAAAATCATTGGAAGGTAGATGTTGGGTTGGATGATGTGGCAAATTTGCCAATTGCCAATTTAGAAATTTCTTTTGATAATGTCATAATTTGGCACAAGCTATAGCAGACCATTTAGAAAAAAATTCAAAGTCTTGACAATAACAACTCTAATGAATCTATCTCCACCCATACAAAACGAAATAACTCTCTTATTTTCAATTTTTTTTTTCATAAATATGTTATAAAATTTGTCAGTAATATGACAATTATGTTTGACATTATTTTCAATGCATATTATGAGAGAAAATTTTCAAATATACTTGTGAAGATGGAATGTGAAGAATATTTTTCTTTTATAAAGTGAGCACTTGATAAATGTCAATAAAATCTATTTAAATCATGATGAGCAAAATAATATATTTTGTAACAAAAAATCAAATATGGACAGTAGTGACTTAAACACCGCATAAGCTATAATTAATTTTTTTTGGAATCATAATCAAAATAATAATTGCAATCAATTATAATTTAATCATATGAAACACAACCAAAATGGGGTGTGATGATTCCATAAATTTTTATAGATGGAGTCACCCTACAAACTTAAGTTCTAAAAATTTTATGTGAAATAGAAAAGGCCAAGTTATATCAATTTTTGGATGAACTCTCTTCTAAGATCACCTTGACAACTGATATATGGACTTCAGACCATCATAATTTTGCCTATACATGTTTGACTGCTCATTATGTGACTAATGATTGGGAGTTGAAGAAGAAAATCCTTGTTTATAGACGCATTGATTACCCGCATGATGGAGACCATTTGTTTAGTTTTATCAAAGATCTAATTTTAGAGTGGAACATAGATAAGAAGTTATTTTCAATGGTAGTCGATAATGCAACGAGTAATGATGTCATGGTGAGACTCTTAAAGCGATGGCTACATGACCAAGGATTACTACATTTGGGTGGACAATTGTTTCATGTGCGTTGTAGCGCACACATATTGAATTTAGTTGTTCAGGATGGTTTGAAGGTGATTGGTAGTCTTATTTCAAAAATCTGAGAAAGTGTGAGATATTTAGGGAGGTCTCCTTATGGAAAACAAAAATTTGATGTTGCAGTGAATCATGTTAAGTTACATCATAAAAAGAAAGTCCCCATGGATGTTCCTACTAGATGGAACTCCACTTATTCAATCCTTGAAGCTGCATTAGATTTGAAAAGTGCATTCCACCGCTTAGGGCAAATTGACAAACAATATAAGCACAATCCTTCTGAGGATGAGTGGAATGTAGCAAATGTGATTTGTGGGTGCTTGAAGATTTTTTTTGATGCTACATCTCACTTTAGTGGTACCACTTTTCTGACTTCAAATGTGTTTTTTCCCGATATTTGTCTTATTCAACTTGAAATGAAAAAATGGGAGCAAAGTGAGTATGATTGCATTCGATTGATAGCCGGTCCAATGAGAGTGAAATTTCAAAAATATTGGGAAGAATGTTCTTTGGTGTTAGCAATTGCAGTGGTTCTTGATCCGAGATTTAAAATGGACTTGGTGGAATACTACTTTGGGCTTATTTATGGTGTTGATGCTAATAAGCATATTCAGAGGGTCCGTAATGGTTTTGTTGATCTTTTTTATGAGTATAGGAGTGATTCTTCTGATTTTATGAGTAGCATTGCACTTGTTTCTAAAAATAGTAGCTCAAGTGGTAGTCAGTTGCTTGTCGGTTCTTCGAAACAAGAAAGTTTGGCTGCTTTTCATGCGTGGTATGCCCCAGAACGTGCTTCTAACATTCATGCCTATCAAAAATCAGAGGTGGAGCAATACTTGGAGGAGTTGGTGTTTCCAAGTAATGAGAGCTTCAATATTCTACATTGGTGGAAAGTGAATAAAGCAAAATTTCCTACTTTGGCAAGGATAGCTCGTGATGTTTTAAGTGTTCCTGCTACTACGGTTGCATCAGAGGCGGCGTTTAGTGTAGGAGGTAGGGTGATTGATGAGACACGTGCTTCATTACTTCCAGATATTGTGGAGGCCTTGATCACTTGCAATGATTGGATTGAATCAACCAAAAATAGAAGTAAGTGAAATATTGAAATTTTTAAATAATTAGATGTTATTTAGTTTAGTTCTATGAATATCTTAATGTCACATTATTTTCAAATTGCAGATGTAGAAGAATGCAGACATGAGTAGATGGATTGAATTGAATCGAATCACTTGAAGTAGATGGGTAAATATGGTTCAGATTATGGGGCTTGTCCCATGCCTTTATAGTGATCAATGAAATTCGTATTTGACATAATTTGATAATCTGTTTGCATATTAAGGTAATAGCTTTCTTGATTTGCAGGTTTGATAATGAGCTTAACAAAGCGGTTGCTATTAAAGTTATTGACTTGGAAGAATCGTGAGTATATAGCTTTAATTATCTCTTACTAGAACTGCTTGTGGTGAAATGTGGTTACATAACTTTTCTTCTTGGAGCTTGATATTCTTGGATTGAGCTGTGAATAAGTATTGGATGAGTGGCAAATTAATTGAGAATTTTAGAGGCCTATAAATTTGTAGGATTAATTATTGTTATCAAGATTTACATTGAAAAGTTTTTATGTTGAAAACAAGTCTATAAATTTGGATTAGCTTGCAAGCAATGTGCAATTTTTGTCTATAAATGGATAGTATACTTCTGCAGAGGTTTAAATATTAATAGTGCTTATGTGAACTGCTCTGGTTATTGGTACTTTTTACAATTACCATGTACACGTGTTGGATCGTCTGAATATATATTCTCCGTGATGCATCTCTTTAATCTTGTCGAAGATGTGGGCTCTGGCTTGGTACATAATTAGACTTTGTGGTTCTCTTTCAGTATGTATTTAGTAAAACAGACAATAAGAAAAAGAAGAATCATAGACTCTCTGAGCTTGAAAATGTGTTTGCTTCATCATTTCTTTAGTTGTAAAATATTTTGTTAAGATGGTAGAGGGTTGTGCTGATTTTGCCTACTTCCAAATCTGTTGGGTTCCTGCATATTGAAGGTACAAGAGTCAAAATCTATACCATATGAGACCCCATTTCAGTCGATTTCCTGTGATTTTGAAATGGAGTTATTTTTGTTATGCTTGGGTTCGAGTCTTACTGCTATGCAGCTTTCCCATTTCTATTCCCCTCCTACCAATTGTCAAAATATATATATATATAACAAAATAAGTCTCCTCCCTGATCGGTGACTTTACTTGGGTCCACTGCTCTTTATCAACAAAATTGTTTTCATTATTGTTTTTATCTTCTCTTACACTTGCTGATACATTGATAAAATTACTTCTGCAGATGTTTTGGTGGCTGATGTTATCGTAGTAGAAGCAAAGAACAAGAGAAGATACTGAAGAACTAATAGAGAAGACCAAAAGAGACACAAACATGTTTAGGAGTCTTTCATGAGTTTTTTCTAGTTTTACTTTTGTGCCAAAAGTGTGTCATAAAATTCTGACCTCTTGTAAGTTAGAGAATGCAGTGGCAATGTTTTGGTGGCTGATGTTACTTTTTTTTTGTCAATGATGGAATTATTCTTTTTGAGTTGGATATGATCAGGTTGAGTTATTGAGCTGGGTTAGGCTTGTAAGCTTTGAATTAGACTGCTCAGCTTAGTATTGTTTGATTTGATTTGTATGTTCAAAATCCGAGAACATATGTTTAGCATGTGTAATGAAATAGACTTGTTTCCAATTTTGATGTTGCTAGTCAAACATGCTAGATATCTTTCAATTTCACTTTTAGTTTGCTGGAATTGAATATTTTTTTAAAAAAGTTTTTCTTTGTTGTTACTTCATGCTACATTGTGAAAGCCCTCATTTATGTATTTTTGATTGTATCACAAGGGGAGAAATTGTGATGTTTTGTTTTGGAAAGATGCTTTGAAATGATGTTATGTTTTGCATTAGGAAAGTCAGAACATCAAGATGAACTTTTCATTATAAAAAGCTGCTATGTTTTTTTTATAATTGGTATTTTCTTGACTTTATGGCTGGCTTAAAAAAAAAAAAAACAGATCGGATCGGATTATTCGGATCGGATATCCGTGTAAAACGGATCGGATCGGATCACGTATAATTGAATTTTCAATAATCGGATTCGGATTAATAGTTAATCGGATCGGATCGGATTTTGACAGATTCGACCCGGATCCGACCCGTTGACAGGCCTACAACAGATACGTTAAGCAAAATAATACTATTAATGCCCAAGAAAGCATCATTTTCTTTCCAAACTCATTCTCCAAGCATTATTCAACTATGACATCCTATTTCGATCAAAAGCCCCAAAAGTTAAACATATTTCCTTTGTTTTCTTTAAAAATGCTCTTTTGGTCGTAAAACGGTAAAAATTTCAAAACCGATCGAGTCGAAGTCCCTTTTTGTTCAAATTTAAAACATAGCTCTTTCATAATCTTACAAATGTATTCCAAGTTTACATCTTCGCAATTTGGGCATCAACTCTTTATGTTTCTCAAAATTTCTCTTTTAAGCAAATAAATGACAAATTTTTCAAAAATTCAAATTAAATTATATTCAACTTTAAGCTCCATATAATCAAGTAAAAGTGCTTAAAAAAGTGTAGGAAAAATCCCTACCTCAAGCCAATAAGCTTTCAATTTTTTTGGCAACATAAATTAAATCTGCTCGAAGCCAAACGATGCCTTTTCGGCCCTCTACGTTTTGATCCAAAGCACTAGGGGTCAAAAATGACTTACACTAGATCAAACCCATGAAAAACCAACTTGGAACCCTTTTTGTTTCTTTCCTCTCGGCAATCTCCCAAAAGCATGAAAAAAAAAAGTCTAAACAAATATCTAACTAAACAAATATATATATATATATATATATATATCAATTTAAAAATATCTAACCACAACCAATATCTAACCATATATATATACACACCCATATATATATATATATATATCAATTTAAAAATACATTTAAACATCTTTAATGACAAAAGTAAATATAATATTTTCTCACCACAAAACATATTTCGTTTAATGGTACACACCATAAATATTCATAATTCTTTTATGGTAATCAAATAATAATGATAAAACCACAACAATATTGCATGGTCACTAGCGAGTCACGATTCAATCAACAGGGTCCAAAATGAATGGAGTTTATTAATTTAAAATAAATCCTCAGCTGAGATTAAAGAATAAATTCAATTTGATTCAACTCGTTACATAGTCTCATTTGGGTTGTTTAGATAACAATGAACTTGATTCATGAAGTGACTTGAAACAAAATGAAATAACTTGAAATGAATAAATGGAAATGGATTGAGATGTGAGTATCAATATTGAATGGTCATGGGATTAATGTAAGTTGGTTGTGGATATTGAACATTTATCTGACACTTATATCTTAGTTAAACCTCATATATTGTGTTAGTCTATCTTTACTGGGTTTTGGCTCACCCTACATGGAAAACCATTTTTAGGTACAAGTGATATGCTTCCTCCAAGGACGTAGCTTGGGAGAACTTAGGAGCTGGAGGCTCTATTTTGTTGTTTTTGTGTTTAAATGTTTATTCAAGCCAGGGCTTTAAATGTGTAGAGCTTATGACTCTCTTTTGTTGTAACCAAGTTATGTCTTGGAAGGATGTAAGCCCGTAGGGCATTTATTTTGTTGTTATTAACTAGTTTTGCATGCTATAGTTTCAGAATGAACATTTATGAAAGTGTAATGCATGTAATATCTTTTGAATATAAACTCTGATATATGAAAGTATACTAATTCTGTTTTATTCGCATCGCTTATAGTTGGATTATTTGTATTTTTTTGGGGGGCGTGACAGTTTGAATTATTGAAACATGACATGTGGGTTGGATGTCTAGACATTATGGCTCTATTTGATTAGTAAGATTAATAATTATGGCTCCACGTTTGTTTTGCAATAGTTATGAAAGTATATAATCTCAATTATATGCTTGTTTTGTGTTATTAGTCATAGAATTAAAAAATTTATTAATTAATAATTGCAACTAAATAATGGAATGTAAGTCCCATAAATTAATTAATAACCTCAATATTATACTATAACTCGCCCAATCAACACATGCCTATCATGCCACATGTGAATTTCACATAAGAGGTGGAGAATTTTGATAAGCTATTTAGACGACGAGGATATATAGCATATTCTTTATTTGTATTATCCATTTTAGCCATTAATTGCAAGAGGTTAAAATTAACTAATAAGTTTAGGCACATTACAATGTCGTTCATTTCATCGAAAGTTAAAGTTCTTTTTATGTTTTAATTTTTTTTTATTGTGCAATAGTTTTGAATAGGAAAATTTGCCTATAAATTCTATACGGGAGAATGTTGATTTATTTTGTATTAAGAGTTTTCTTCTGAATCAATTAGTCCTTTTTGTTTTGGAAAGTTACATCTATTTGATTTGGTACCATTTAAGTTTTAGTAAATGCCATTTTATAATTACTTTTTTTTTTATTTTTTGATTCGTTTTTTGAATGAGAATGAAAAGGTGAGATGTGAAAGATTTTTTTTTGGAGTAATTGGTGGCTGAAGTGTTAGTTGTCAAGCGTGAAAATTTACATTTCTATTAGTGTGATTTTTTGGTGTAATACGTTTGAAAAAAGTATACTAAAGAGTTTTTGTGGGTTACATTGATTGGAGTGTTACGTTTAGAAAAAAAAAATACATTAACAAGTTTTTTTTTATTTTTTATTTTTTAATATTACGTTGTTACGTTTGAGAAAATTACACTAATAAGTTTTTTAGTGTGTTACATTAGATTGCTATGTTTGGAAAAAGTATACTAAGGAGTTTTTATATATTATATTGATTGGAGTGTTATGTTTAGAAAAAATACATTAAAGAGTTTTTTTTTTTTTTTTGGGGAATGTTACTGTAACGCCCTGCTATTTCATACATGAATCCATCGCAACCAATATAACAACACATCTCAAAACCATCTTTTTCACTGAACTAAGAATTAAAATTTACAACTTCTCCATTTACATGTCCTTAAAACCTTGTACCTGACTCCAAGTTCTACAAACATGATGACAATTATAATAGAACCCCATGGGTGTACAAGACAACAACAAAATAAGTCTAATAGCCCTATTACAAAACTCTAATCTTTACAGTAAAATATTCTCAACTGTCAATCCCAAAACCGCTTACTTCAAGTCACCACTGTAGTTGTACAACATTATTTCCTGAAAAATAGAATAGGGGTGGGGTATATGCCCAGTAGGAATACATTTAACCAAGTCTTTAATCATTCTAATAAATTTATGGCACCCTTGAAACAAAACATAATAAGGAGTTATGAACACATGTAATCTTCATTAATTATGTAATTACGTAACGATTAAGCATGGACCATTACATTTCACACCTTCACAATAAAACAATTAAACAATAACATCAATGGAAAACAAACCATGAGTCCCATGTAAGAGTCCAACACAAGTTAGTTTAGTTTCAAAAACCAACCCCCACATTTTAGGGCTATTATACTGCAATAAGTGGGCACCCAAGAAAACCATCCGTTTTTCCACTTTCACCGGCTATTATACGATAGGATTGTGTGGACACCCAAAAATATTTTTTTCACATTCGTCTAGCGATAAGTCTAGACAGGGAATTTGGGAACCTTTTAAACTCCCTGAGCGGGTACCAACACAACACCACATTTTCCAAAACTGACTCTTACCCGGACTCATGCACAATTAACAATTCCATCACATTCTAATTCCATCAACAAACATCCATCATCACAATAGATGAAACACCACAAATATTCAAAGAATAATAACATTCAAGTCACAATTCATTTACCATATTAACATCCACATCTTTCATCTCTTGATTGTTCATAATATTCCATGAAATATTAACATCCACATCTTTCATCTCTTGATTGTTCATAATATTCCATGAATGAAAGGAAATTCCACTCAATGTAGTGTTTTCTACTCAAATTGAAAAGTTAGGGTTTTACCAAATTTAGGGGTTTTTCTCCTCCATTATAGGTTCTAACAACATATATATATGTTTTTGAAAAAAAAAAAGTTAGAAAATTTTAAGAAAAATTCAAGAAAAATGATTTATTTATATAAAACATGGGTTTAATCCAACAAGATCCTCAAATTATCTTATAAGTCACAACAATACCATGAAATCTCTTCAAAATAAAGAAATACTAGGATAAAAGTATCCCTACCTCAAAGAAATGAAAAGAAAACTCGGAGAAACCCAAAGTTTATGAAATCTCGAAGTCCTTGGATCAAAAGAAAGCCCTTGACGCGCTCTCCAACCTTCCTCAAGGGACCTAGGCGAGAAGATGTTTCTAGATGAGTAGATCTAGCAATCTAAGT